CTGTGAGGGGGCTTAAACCTGGCTGTCCAGGAGACCACAACTGGCTCTGATGGAGGTTGAGCCTGGCTGTGAGGGAGATCAGACGTGCCTCTGATGGAGGCTGAACCTCTGATGGAGGTCAGACCTAGCTCTGAGGGAGGTTAAACCTGACTGTGAGGAAGATCAGACCTGGCTGTGAGGGAGGTTAAATCTGACTGTCAGGGAGATCACAACTGGCTGTGAGGGAGGTTCAGCCTGGCTCTGAAGGAGCCCAGACCCGGCTCTGATGGAGGCTGAACCTGGCTGTGGCGGAGGCCGGACCTGCTGTGAGGGAGCCCGGGCCCGGTCGGTGCCCCCTGCCCGCCGCCGCGGAGCCGGCCCCGGCAGCCGCTCTCCTGCAGCCCCGCCCGGTACCAGCAGGGGGAGCAGGAGCCCCGCTCGGCTCGGGTGCTGCCGGCCAAAGGGGCGCCGGCCGAACACCACCAATAAATAAATAAACAAATTAAACACTTTCTAGTTATTGAAAGGTCTTCTCTTTCCCATGATAGCTAAAAAAAAGAACAGTGCAGCCCCAAGCTGCCATGTCAAGAGATCGCCCCTAACAGCACAAAAGGACTGAGGAATTGTAATGACCCGTAATGAAATAGACATTCACTGTGTAGCACCGTCACAAAAAGCACAAATATTGTTCTACCACTGATAGATAGCACAGGATATGCAAAATACAGGTGGCAATTACCATTATGTTGGGTTTTTGTGTTAGGGGACTTACAGCAGCTGCTGAAGACAGTGGTAACCCCAGGGCCTCGGCCGGACAGGGGTTTTCGGCGTTCTCCTTCTTCGTGCTGGGCTGAATATTCACGAAGGGAAGCCCGTGGGGTATGTGGGACTCTGAATCCTTAACGAGGCAAAAATACTTCTCACCAAGGCCAAGGCATCGCTGCTGCCAGCTCCTGGTACGTCCCTGCTCACCGGGTCTGTCCTGGGTGCAGCTGGTCACGTCTCTGTGACAGGGTACCGTCTTTGTTCTTGCCACATCTATGGCAGCATTTTGAGATATTTCAGTAAAGGAGCTCTGTTTGGGCCTGTCTGCATCCATACAGTGTTTGCCTGTTGGATCAGCCGGTCCTGCTCCCCTGCCAGTTGTCGGAAGGAGCAGCACAGCCTGAATGGTCTTCTCAGGCTTTTCTTTATGTGTGCGGAAATGGAAGAGCTCGAGGTATTATTTCAGGTTTTCTTTGGCCGGGTGTATGATGTAACTTGATTTGATTTGTCTTTATGAATGCAAAAAAGCAATCCATAAACATGCATCGATTACTTTTGAACGGCCCTACTGCAGCAACGTTCAGGGACATCAAACAGGATTTCGCAGCTTTTGTGTCTGGCAATATACAAGCAAAACAAACCTTTCCTCCAGGTATTTACAATGGAGAACGCATAAACAGACCCTTGTGCAGAAGATCTGCAGAACCCTATTTGCTGTGATGGTGTAAGAATCTGAGTATGAAGCACTTTCAGCATCAGGTATCACGAACCATGTGCTCAGGCCAGTGTATCACCTTATTTCCTACATTAATTACTCAGGTCTTACTACTTTTTTTTAGGTCAGCCCCAGTGATGTACTTAAAACATCTTTGTGGTCCTCACTGCTAAGCTACAAGCTTCTAAAGCACTTTATTTCACTGGTGTCCTGAGGTCCTCCTCATGGAGCCAGGTCTTTTCTTTCTCAATACACTTGGATCTCAGGGCAGCCCTTTCAGTAATTTTTTATGCAGAAACCCTGACAAGTCTTCTAATCTGTTTTCACTGGGAAGCCATCTGTTAGATTTTTTTCCCTCTAGCTCCGCGTTCAGCACTTTTAGGGAGCTAAGATAATATTTGGTACTATCTGTCTCAGCAATTCCATAACACGAGTATCACAGTCACCTCTAGCATGATAACCTTGATAGCCTCCTTTGGAAAGGTGCAGACTGAATTTTCAGGGAGGGGAGATCTGTTTTTCTAAGTGATACAGAATTGTTATTATTATATATTTCGCTTTGTTTGCTTGTTTTCTTTTCAGGTGGCAGCTTGCTGTTGTTAGTATTTGCTGGTTCCAAAAAGGGAAGACATTCACATTTAAGTTGCACAGATGCAAGTATTTACTTTGACAATGATAAGAAATGCGGAAGATGAGAACGGTTACCTCTCTGTTCTGCTGCCACTGAGTGGTGATGATTTATTTTCCCAAAGACAAGAAAAGACAGAAAAGAAAACTGCAGCTGCAACATCTTTGCTAGAAGTTGGACAAGAGTATGATTTGCTAAACAGTACATGTTGGGAATGAAAAACAAGGTTCAGTAATAGCTGTCCGTGGAATTCTAACCAGTCTCTGATAAAATATTCTAAACCTTTTGACAACACGCTTCCCCAAGGCAGAAAAAACATATACCTATATTTTATTTATTGTTCCCAACAGTGGGTCCTCACCAGACTTATGTTTGTTTCCAAAGAAAGGAGATGAAAACCAAAGGAGAGAAAAACCTGACAGATTTGCAAACAGAGAGATTTGCAAATAAAGTAGATTATCAGGTGTGAACAAAATAATTTAACTTCAGTAAGTACATGAGGGACGAGGGCCTTAGCACAGAGTCAGAGGTATACAGAAACGTGAAGGGGCTTCTATACGTTGAGAGCCCAAATTACTCAAAGAACAGGATGTTACTAAGCTCAGCCGGAAAACCAAGTTGATGATATTTATTGAAGCTGAATGGCAGGTGAAAAAGCAGTATCCTGGGGGAGAACAAGTGGCAACTCACCAGGTTCAGCCCAGCCCTGGAAACTGGAATGTTCTCTGCGTGATGGCAGTGAAAATCTTTCAAGGAAAAGCTCTGAGAGAGGTATCAGCTGCTTCATCTTGTTTCAGGTTTTCTCTGCAATAGTATGTTAACCCCTTTCTGTAAAGGAACATAAATTGACTTAGATTGGTTCGTCTCTTCAAATATAAGATTATGAGAGTAAATACAAGGAGTGGTAACATCTGATCTTTGAGAAGGAAATAAATCAGCTGATTAGCTTCTAACAGACTGTGTGGGAATTTAAGGTACAGAACAAAAGACGAGGCTAAAATCCTGCTTTCAGTTTGGAATGGGTAAGAGTAAGAGGCAAATAATTCTGCATATAATGCACTAAGTGCACTGAGTCACGTTCCAGAAATTTATGGAAAAGCTGTCAAGAAGAATGACTGATTTAATGAACTGTGTCAACACATTCGCAGGAAGCACCAGATTATAATTTGCTCTGCCTTAGTGACATTTTAAGCAGCTGAAAAATGGCTTTTACAGAGCGTATTAAACTGTACAATCTTATCAGCTTATATGATATGAATCTATTTTGAACAAAATTTACCCAGTTCCTATCTGCTTAGCTGTACCTCAGACGCTATTTTTAAAAAAATGCATTCACACAATGAGGAAATATTTGATTTGATGTACCCTTGCCATTTCTAAAGATCTAATATTTGCCTCGCGGGGAGGAGGGTCAAAGGACTTGCTTTATTGCCCCGGAGGGGTCACAGAATCACAGAATCTTCTAGGTTGGAAGGGACCTTAAAGACCATCTTGTCCAACCATCAAGTTGAGGGTCAGTCACCTCAAGCTCAAGGCTCATGAACGTGGTGGTTAAACAGGGAAAGATCTTTTGAGTGGACACCGTGAGGAACTAACAAAGTGCAGGAAAATACAGGACTGAATAGGAAAAGCCTTTCAGCTCAATGACGGCCAAAGAGCTGCCCAAACAGACCCCGTCCTTACCATGTGAAATGTGCCTATTTTATTATCTTAGTCAAATCAAGTTGTGGGAGTGGAAGGGAAAGAGGTGTAATCTTCTGCTGGCACCCCATGGACTACTCAAACTGTTCATTTTCACCCCGCTTGGAGGCAAGAATGGAGGAAGCCAGTGAGTCCCAGGAATGGGCCAGTACCCAAGAGTTCAAGGAATCTTGGAGGAAAAGCCATGGGGTTTTGCTGGGGGTGGTAGTGGTGGTTTGCACTTTACCCAAAGGGTTCCGGGTGGGATGGTGAACCAATTGAAAATAATGCTATCTAAATATCAACAAACCCGAAAATACAGGGGTGGGATTCACGGTAATTTAGTAGGAAGGGAGAAATCTTAATGCTGAGAATCCGTGAGCTTAAATGACACTTCCGAGGTGACCACCTTCTTGGGGTTAGACCTTAGGAGAGTTTACGGGGGTCCTGTCGGACCCGCACCTCCCGGCCCGCCCCTTCCCGCGCCGGGGGCACCGACAGGTTCCGTGCTCGCCGGTGGCGACCGGGGCCGCTCCGGGGGCCGGTCACCGAGCCCAGCCGTGCCGGGGGCCGCTCACGGAGCCCAGCCGTGCCGGGAGCCGCTCACGGAGCCCAGCCGTGC